ATATATATATATATATATATATATATATAAATCACATGGTTGGACTCTTACCCTGCATGCTAAATTCACATGTGCATCAACCCAATTAATGTATTCCTTGAATCAAGTTGATTCTTCTCATAGCCACTTTGCCCTTGAAAACTTGTCATGGAGAGAATTTTAGAAGCTTAAGGAGCTCAATCCCTGCATTAATTCATACATTTGTTTGAAGATGCATGCGAAATATATTGTTTCTGAGAGGGTGGTCCTTTTTTGGATTTTGAGAGGGGAGAAAATTGGTCAATGGGAATCCCATTGAACAAGAATCCCATGTTTTTTTTTTCAAATTTATGTGGGGATCAGGGAAAGTTTATTTTCCTACGTATCACTTACCGTAGGTGGGTAAATAACTTTATCACATAGGGGAAAAAGTTGCCAACACTTAAATGAGACAAGAATACTACTTTTAATAATGGATTTTTATGACTAAAATGGTCATTGCCTTATTTACCTGGAAAATAAAAGAACATGGGTATGCACTTACCTAGGTAAGTGTTTCCCAGGAAAAACTTACCCAGATAATTACATCTTCCCAAGTAAGTAACTTAGCAAAAAGTGAACGGGGCGACCTGAATGATATCATCATTCAAAATACCAGAAAATGCGATGGTTTTTATACTTTGTGCCCTCTATGTAAGAAAGAAATAGAAGACATTAACCATTTATTTGAGAAGGGTGAGTTCTTCAGACTAGTTTGCTTTGGTTCTTGCCTCGCCATCCACATGGATTTGTATCCGGATTGGACACTAGATAGATGGTTTTCGTTTTGGTTGAACAAAGTGAGGGAAACACCAGAGGATGACATTTCTTCATTGAGTAAGTTCTCTATCATACTCTGGCATTGATGGAAAGCCACGGAGACCGGATCTGCTCCTCACTGCTGGTGCCTCACACGCACATCCTATCATGCATTGAGAACATCTCCTGTACTTATTGATTATTATTCACGGGAGATGTTCCCAATGCATGGTGGATGTGCCTGTTAGGCGCCCATTTGTAAGGAGCAGATCCCGTCACAAAGCCACGGGCCCTAGAAGGAAGGATCTTTGATCCCAAGACGATACTAGTCGCTGCTAACTCCCAGATTCAAGAGTTAATAAGTCTGAAAAGAAGGAGAGGACAACTGTTGATGTCTACCACGTACATGTAACAAGATTGCCCATGCGTTATTAGTTAAATATGGTTGTGTTTTGAACAAGACCACTATGTGGTCAATCACCCCTGAATTTTTTATACTTGTACTGGCTGAAGATGCTTTAAATTGATTTTTACCTACAGGATTTTCAAAAAAAAATGTAAGCCAACAAGAAGCAAGTATTCTACTGTTTTTCATCAATTAATCAAATTTGCTTCCTCATCAAAAAACCATGGCTATACCTTGCTATACATAAAAATAGTCTACTTTTAGTTTTTCCCTCTGAACTTTTCCTATATATTTTTAGCATATACAATCTATTTGATATTGATGAATGTAAGTTATAGTGAATTGTTGTTGATTCAAAAACATGTATTCAATTATTATATTTTTAAATTAAAACAAGTAAGATATTAAACATTGCAATTATAAAAATGTAAAATATATCAAATGAAAACTAAGGAAAAGCCTCATAATGGGTTA